AGTCCTCCCCCTGAGGAGGAAGGAGCAGCAGAGACAACGTGTGATGAACTGACTGCAAACCCCATTCCCTGTCACCCTGTGCCACCCAGCGGGAAGAGGTAGAGAAAATTGGGAGTAAAGTTAAGCCCGGGAAGAACGGAGAGGTGGGGGGAAGGTGGTTTTAAGATTTGGTTTTATTTCTCATTGTCCTGCTCTGATTTCATTCATAATAAATTAAACTGATTTCTCCAAGTCAAGTCCATTTTGCCCATGATAGTGATTGCTAAGTGATCTCCCTGTCCTTATCCTGACCCACGAGTCTTTTGTTATATTTTCTCTCCCCTGTCCAGCTGAGGAGGGGAGTGATAGAATGGTTTTCGTGGGCACCTGGAGTCCAGCCAGGGTCAACCCACCACACAGGTCTATTGGCTTTGGATCATGATCAACAAATGCATGGAGCTACTTTAACCGAAGCTGTGCCCAAACCAATAGTGTCGCCTTGGTCATCAGTAGTGGGTATACAGAGACATCCAAGCTGCTCTGCAGGAGCCAGCTCAGGAACAGCACAGACCCAGACTGAATCCTTGTGTTTTCAATGTCTACACTATATTCACCAGCATCTCCTCTAAATATCTTGTATATCTGCATTTTTTCCACCCTCAAGGATTCCTTTGACCTCCCCTATCCTCTGCCATCCCTTGAGGAAGGCTTTAAATTAGTGACTAGTATTGGCCAGTAGCTCTATGCACTCCACCCACTCAAACAGTACTGCTCTGCTGAGTACATGTTTTTCTTCACTTTAAATGCAGCCAATTACCTACAGGTTTGCAATTCAACAGAAAGCAATAGGAACAATCAGTGTCCTCATCTCAGTAACACATTTTGGGGAAAATACAGCAAAGAACTGGGTATTAAATAAACATTAGTTTCAGTAAGTGGAAGAAGCTGATAAGGTGACTTGTATCAAATTACATAAAGTCCTTTCCAGGAAATTTTCTCTTTCTAGCATAATTCTTCAATACATTCAAGGCTTATTTGACTCTCCATCTTCTCTCCTTTGTATTCAGAAGGAATTTCAGAGAAATTCAGGGGTTATACAACTATGCAGGAGCAAAAGATACTCTTTATTACCATTGTGCTAGATATTGCAGGAAGCCAAAATGAGAAATTTAGGAAAGCCATGGAAGTGAGAATTGATCTAATTCAATAACAGATTCATTGGCTTTCTAATCAGATTTGATCACTTGAGTATTTCATATTGTAGCTGCATAAGTATATTATAAATACCTACCACATGTGACACAGGCACTTCAAAGTCACCATATAAACTGTAGAATAGATCTGCAGAAAAAGTTAAAGAAAAATATATATCTTAGTTCTTCCACGTCTTGGTAAATAACTCCCAGCTCTGAAATGTCATTTTATTTAATTTTACAACATTCAAAACCACTGTAAAACCACCATAATAAATATTCAAAAAATAACTCAGATTATATTGTACTGTTACAGCTTACAGTAATGCCTGAGTAACATCATACAAATTATATTATAAAAAGCTTCACCAGCACCAAAACATAGAAATACTACATTTCACATAATTCATTTAAGCACATGGAATTTTGGCTACAGAGGATTTTTTCCTTACTCTTTTTATAGACCTGATTTTGTACGCTTTAACTCGTAAAATGACTCAATTACACAGTCCCAGCATAAAGCAACATGGAAAATACGTGAAAACCAATATGGGAACAAGTGAGAATTACAGAATTGTACTGGCTATTCACAGAATTTCTACTGCTCAGTCTATTCGGGATTTCTAGCCTTACTTCATTCCAATAACAAGCAAGGTCTGCCAACTCAGGTCTGAGACTGGGATTCAGAAACTCTGGTTTCATGTGACCTTGGGCAGCTTTTCTGCCTCATTTCTCCATTCACAGCATGGTTTCCTTACACCTCCAAAGACTGTAAGCTCTTGGAAGCTCCCTGCCACTATTTTTTGTAAAGCAATTGGTACTGTGGGACAAAGATTAGAGCTGAGCTCAGTAAGAGTACATGTGCAATCTTTAACACAAGACACAATGATAAAATTGTTCCGATATTTAACAGAGGTAGGTAAATGATGCCCTTTGCGCTACTGGAGAATGTACAAGCGGCTTGCCCAACGACACAGTGTGCCTTGCTGACACAGCTCCCGAGTCACAATCTTCAACTGTAATATCCTGAAGTCCTCCAGAAATACATGATCCAACAGAAATGCAGTGGAGCTGTTAACACATTCAAGTCTTTATTCAAAGGCACAGCAGTCAGGGGAAAATTTCTTCATTAACTTCAGTGGGCACTGAAGTAAATTTTCTCTTAAACACTATCACCCAGAGGGAAAACTAATAAAGAAAAACTAGATTACTTGGTACCTAGGACGAAATTCAGGTATCCCGTGTGTTCAGTTTTACTCAGCAGTTTTCAGCACAAGTTAAACATATTCTAGCACAAAGCATACGCACAAATTTTATGAAAATGAAGCATCATCAAAATTGCTAAGTAGAAACTGGGAAATGCATCAGATACATCTTCTGCATTACAAAATTGAAAAAGCAGCTAGTAATAAGCTGAAAGAGATAAGTATGTAGCCTGAGCATCTGCTAGATTGGGGCTGGCTGCAGTAGTTAAAACACCAGGAAAGGAAGCTGGATCTTTCTCTTGCGGTACTCCCCACTGCACTGCACTTGAGAATGTCACCATTGTAGTAATCTGCTGCATAACTAACATCAAGCCATTCACAGTATCTAGGCCTTTCGTTTTATCACAGCACCAAAGCTCATTTTTAGAAAATTACTAATGTCTTTGTTTTCACCCTGTAAGTAATGATTTTAGGAAAGAAAACAGGATGCTGTGTCTCTCCTTAGACATTACATGTAACTGACACGGCTTAGGCTTCTGGGGTTCTCTGGTTTCTCAAATCATCCCATTTTTGTGTGTTGTCACAAAGAAATAGTGTGATTGTGGCACAGGAGAGAGGACAGCCTCTTTGGGGAGATATGAGGGAAAACAAAGATCCTATAAATACAGAAGGTGTACACCAGAGTAAAGATTAATATTCACCTCACCAGATGTCCTAGCCATGCTCTAGTGCTGAGGATGATCACTGGAGTTCTCCAAATATTCTGAAGTTCTTCCTGTTCTGGATGTTTATTTTTGATTTTACTTTGCACAACAAAACCATGCAATAATAACTGAGGATCTTTACGCCTCACACTATCTTCCTGGGCTGAGGTGTACAGACATCATATATCCCTATGGTCCTCCAAAGACAGCAGGAAGATCACACTACCTACCACAAAGTAGCCACCTCAGAGCAGCGCTGCTGGTAGAGGCTGCCAACACGACTGGAATCCTAGGCACACTTACTAGGTGCCTCAGAGGAGAAACCAAAAGCTAAGTGGACTGTGCATACTGGCCAACAAGGTCAAAGGAAGGCTTAGTACTCCGAGGCACTTTGCTGGGACAGCAAAAAGGAGAAAAGAGATCAAGAAATCTGCCTTGTTCTAAGCAATGAATGGAGATGTCTCACGAGCTGCCAGCTGAAATTATTTTGGAAACACTAACACCGCAAGGTACTTTCTTCTAAAGTTACAAGAGTTTCCTCATTGACAACACTTGAAATCTTTTACTGATTTATCAGAATCTTCGTGTTTTATAGCTAACTGTGAGGAAAAGTATTTACGGCAGCTGACAAGATACTCAGTCACAGCCTTGCCACTTTTATTATCCTCAGCAACCAGATGTACCAAGCAATTCACATTTCTAGGCTCTGCAGGGTTCTGATGTTGAAATGATACCTGTTGTTCATAATGCCTGTTCACGTCGCCGTTTCAGACCCACAACTCTTGCTGCCAGAAGAAACACAGCCCCGGTGAGCACTTCTGCGACAAAGGAGATCCAGACTAGCACCAGCGACCAGCCAAACCTGATGTCGATTTCTACCAGGAGATCCTTACTCCTCAGGAGGCAGACAGCTTCTTCGAAGGCAGCAGCTGAATATGCAATATAGACACTGATCCCAGTAAGTGTAACAAGAGCTGAGAAAGAAAAACATATTGAGCTAGTTAGCATCCACTGCAGAAATTAAAGTAATTAACTCGATATCTCTTAGGGCTTCTTTGCCGCTCCTTCCTATCTCCCCAGGCCAGATTACCAGTTAGCCTCTGTTTACCTTTGAAATGTAGTTGAGGCTGGTTTTTGGGGAAGGGTGAGAGGGAAGTAAAGGGAGGGTTATTTCTGTCCATTGTGTTTAATCTGTTAAATACTGAAACAAAACGTGTAACAGCAAGTCTCCGACAATAAAAATCTAGTCATGTCTTTTACAGATATCCAATGCATGTACATCTCTGTTTTCAATTCTGTACTATAATGCATTCTGTTTTCTCACTGCTGTGCACCACGTACAGTTGTCTGCCTCTACACAAGAAAGCCCACAGAGACGGATTCTTGAATTTCAGGTCAGTGACTTGAATTTAGGCTGTTTTCTAGTTTTGAGTACGGTTAAGTATTGAGTGTTCAATGTAAATGTGTTGGTCTTTACTGTCACCCTCCACCAAGTGTTGTGGAGTAATGACTATTCATCACTTCCAAATGATTGAGCCAAAGACATCCTTGAAGCAGACTAAAAATAAATTAACAAAGGCACTCAAACAAGAAGCCACATGTTTTCAGAATGAAAGGACTGTGCAGAAGCTAGCAAACTGAGGAAAGGGCACACCTAGCACAAGTACACGCTACATCCTGGACCTGGCATCTATGTCACTCAAAGAACATATACTATGTCATAACTTTACTGGATCAGTGGCAGGAAAGATGTGATAGAAAGGCCCTGGATTAAAGGACTGTAGCCCAGTGAAAGTAGACACTGGGACACTTGTAGGACAAGGTAGGGTCTCATCTGATTCTGAGGGAGAAAAATTTTGGTCTGGCTTTCTGTTAAATCACAGTGTAAGTTTAGACGAGTCTGCATTTTTGCCAGAAAGACAAGTTTGAGTAGAGGCAAACCAAGACAGAAGAGTATTGGGTTATCCAACAGTCAAAATTTGTACTCATATTCCTGATTTTAATCATGCTATGATGCCTGTACTTTATTCTAGTCCTCTGAAAGGTGGGGAAATCACTTTATACCTTTTGTCAGCAAAAATGGAAATGATCGTTTTGTTGACATTTTCAACAAGGTGAGCTGAGTTCCGTGATCCCCCTTAAACGTGGCCACATTTCAGAAAAATGGGGGAGCATATAGGATGTCCTGGGATGTGAACACATCAGTTCTGGTATTTTCAAAAAAACCCCAGGTTTCTGGAATTGCATCACAAAATACTTCTTTCTGCTGAGACAGAATTATCTGATCAATACGAACATCGTGAACTGGAATATCCCACAAAACTGCATGCCCATTACGTGCACCAAGTCTCAGCGCAGCTGAAACAGCTGAATACCACCTGAGCAGGAGGAGGGTCTGGTCTCACACCAGAGGCCACCCTGCAGTCTGCTCCCGCTGTCCTGGGAAACAGCACTAGTTGCATCTTCAGAACATGTTCCAGCACCCCTCTCCTAATACTGACTTTGTGCTTCCTTTCCCTCTTTGCAACCCCAAGTGTCTTCGAAAGGCACAGTACTCTACTCCTCAGTGGGATAATCATGCTTTGCACTTCACAGCTTTTCATCTTTCCCTTACTATTTGGAGTAGTTTTCAAATAGCCTAAGCCTTTTTACTGAATACAGCTTTCTGATGTTCTAAGGAAATAGAACTCTCTTCTTTTTCTGCAGAAGAAAAGCATAATGGGGGATGGTTGGTCTTTGTAAGAGCACTTCAGACTAAAAAGGTCAGTCAAGACTTTGAGAGAGCAGCATTTGCTTCCAGCAATCTCTTAGCATTCTCTTAGAAAAAAGACCATATGATCAGGTGATGAAGGCTGATACCCCTTTTCTGTTGGGGAAAATTTCTGTTTCAAGTCACATTGTGAAACAGTACTGAAAATCTATTTGGAGAAGAAAATGGGAGACGCATTTAAACCCACTTTTCCTACTTTGACATAATGTTTTTAGTTTTAATTCATAAATGACTTTCTAAAACATGGAGGTTTTGGTTACAGCAAAAATAATAGAAAACAAAATGTAAAAGAATTTTACTAGCTTCAAATTGAAATGTTACACTCCAACTAAAATAACTCTTTGGGGGTTCCTTTTGAGACCTACAGTTTGGGGACACCACTC